GCTCTGAGCCAGACAGTCCCTGCTCCAAAGTGTTGCCAGTGGAAGCAGACCAGATAAAGGATGGGAGAGGAGGTGGGATATTATTTGGAGAACATGAAGTATATGGAAAAACCAAGAGCAGGCAGGGATAGCAGGGGAGTACCCAAGGGAGCAGAGGATCATGCAGGTAGGGTAGGGAGAAGCGAAGAAAAGTGCATATGAGGGACAGGGGTGGTAAAAAAAAAAGCAAAACAGTGAGTATAGGGAGGGAATATCCAGCATGAAAAATATGGAGAGTGGCCAGACCTCATCCATTTCCAGCAGGCCCTGCTGAAATGGCTGCTTTCACTCGCTCCTGCTATTTAGCATTTCTGGTCCTATCCTGGAATTTCATTTTTTCTCAGGCCCACCTAACATGGGGAAGAGAGTACAGGATGTGTTAGATCACCCATGGTGGGAATTTTGTTGTAAACTGTTGCCTTTACTAGTAGTTTCTTCTGTTGTCCACTACCACAGATCTGCCTGACACTGGCATTTCAGTCTGTCACATGACTTTGCAAAGGGAGCTTGGAGGAAAAGAGGAGACTTGTGGTTCTGGGGGATAGGGAGAACCCTGTGGGTGCATCTACATGTGCGCTTTACTGCAGAGCTGACTAATGGGCTCAGCAGTAAAGCATCACTGTCTACACATGCACCCCTATTAGGGCACAGGAAATTAATTAACTCTGCTGTAGGATAGTATTGTCTGGGACAAGTACTGGGCTGGGGTGGAGCAGTCCCAGGTTGGCAGGCTGACACCCCCCACCCCCAGGTTCCCTGCCACCCCAGGGCTGCTCCACCCTGACTCAAAGTGCTGTAGTCCTGGGCATATGTATAAACACTGCACCAAGGAGACATAAAGGCCAGTGCAAGCTGTGCCAGAGTTTATTGCTATGTGCTAATTCAGGGGCAGACAATTTTTCTGGGCAGAGCGCTGCTTACTGAGTTTTGGCAAGCCATCAAGGGCTGCATGACAGGCAGCCAAGGGCAGATAAATATTCATTTTCTAAATTTTTTAGGGGCCCCGTGGGCTAGATAGAATGGCTTGGCAGGCCGCATCCAGCCCCTGGGCCACATTTTGCCCACCCCTGTGCTAACTGCATATGTAGATAGACCCTGTGTCAAGCAATTCTGGGGAAGGTGTTGGGTCTGAGGGAAGCAAAATGGTGGGAAAATTCTGAGTGACAGACAGGAATGTGACCTGTTGGTACCTATGCACTTAAACAGAGGGAATACAGAGTACTGATGAGGGCCAGCCTGAGAAGAGGAGGGGGTTATTTTCAATGAATGGAGCAAAACCTGCTCTGTTTTATCCCATGTGCAAGACTGGCTGAATGCTGAGCATTGGTCAAGCACAGTTCTACTACTCCAGCTAGGGCTGCAACAGTCCCAAGGACACATAGAGGAAGGTTTGAAAAAGTGAACTGATGCAGAGGCCTCGGCAGTGGAAAAATCTACCAACAGATCACTCTGAGAGAGGATAATTTCTTTCTACCAATTATCAGATGGTGTCCAGCTGACAATCCCCTAGTTTTGATGACATTGACTACAGTACAGTGCCAGTACAGAGATGGTGGCAGTCTTATGTATGTGCTTTACTTGATTATACTCAGCAGGAAGCAGATTGTCAGACACTGGGAACATCTACATGTGAAATTAATTCGATGCAGTAATCGCCAGAGTTTATTGTTCCTGGGGGCAGCATTTACACGCCTGCCCAGGACCACAGCATATTGAGCTGAGTTGGAGCAGCCCCGGCTGTCAGGAGACCTGAGGAGTCAGCTTGCCAGCCCAGGGTTGCTCTGACCTGGCTCAATGTGCTGCAGAAGGGCTGGCTGGGGCACAAGGGTGCAGCAGTCCAGGGCTAGCTGGCAGGGAGTCCTCTTGCCCCCAGCCAGCCCTGTCAGTGTCTACATGTGCATTGCTGCGTACTAAAAAACACTGCCATAGGATAGCATTTGTGTTTACAAGTACTAACCTGCAGCGGAGTTAATTAGTTTACCATGGCCTAATAAGGCTGCATGTGTACATGCTGAGACTTCACTGCACAGCTAATAAGGCAGCTCCACAGTAAATCTCTCATGGAGATTTGCCCATTGAAAACTGCAGAAAGACTGCTATTGCAAGTATTTTTGTTATAATGCAGAACTAAGACATTCAACCTTAACACAGTGAAGGAGGGTAAATTTGTACTGCAGTGCTCAGGTACTTGAAGGACTATTCAGTGCAATCAACAGAAGTCAGTCTGAATGAAGGGTAGTTTCAAAAAGTGAAAGGGATACAGGGAACAGTTTGATAGTTTCATCATCTATGTCAAGGCTGCAGTGCCTCCCTCCACTCCTGCCCTCCAAGTTTCCCAAGCCACAAGCTCCTTGGATGGGAAGAGAAAACTGGAGGAGGGTGAAGAAGAAAAAACATGTGACAGCATCAGCAAGAAAGCAATGGATTCCATGCAGCATTTGCATCAGGAGCCCAGGGACCATGGGGTAATCCCTTACAGATCACTAGTTGAGACAATCCTGATTTATATCACCGGAGTCCTGTTGGTGATGACTGAACAACCTTGTTGAAGTCAATTCACATAGCATTTGGCTCTTTATTTATGATAACTCTCAACATAGTTTAGTTATAAGGGCTTTTTTATTTTTACTGCTGGGAGCACAGAACAGTGGTGTGGCATATAGGAGAGAATGTAGTTTATGTAGGACTGATTTCTACAATTCTATTTATGTTACTAGTTGAAGTTTTAGGTAAGTACCATATTACTCTGTTGCCTGCTTACCAGGGGTTAATGTAAAACATTTGGAAGAGCTGGAGTTTTCTGCAAGAAAACTAGAATAAAAAAAGCTGTTTATAAATCTTGTAAACTGGGGGGGGGGAAGCCCAGTCATTGTCACATGCCAATCTTGGGATTTAAGTGATTTCTACCTTGTTGTAAATCTGAAGAAACCTCATACCTCAGCTAGGGAAACTGTAGTTGAACTATAGGAACTTTCCTTACAGCGGAGAGTAAAGGTTATTTCAATCAGATATCTGAAGATGGTTAATGATTATGCCTAGGAATGTCCAAGTGACATCCGTTTATATGTTTTGTCTGGTATTATTCACAGCATTTTTTGGATAAAAATCCATTGAGGAATATGATTTAGCACAAGATTATTTCATTCAGACTAACCATGCATTGTCTTGGTGTCTGAATTAACGTGGCCCTGCAGTTCACTGGTAAGAGAAAAATTTGAATGATGTCCAGTGCACTGGCTCCATTATTCCTTCTAAAATGGGTGTTTAGCTAGTTGCATCATTCCCCAGACCTTTACCCTATAAAAAGGTGTTGGTGGAGTTCTGGAGCTACAGTTAAGGAGGACAGGAATAAAACCTATAACATCTCACTCCCACTTCCTGTATCTCCCACTGAAAAGTCTTAGAGGAGGAAGAAAGAATAAGTCTAATTTGTTTGTTTACTTCCTTTAATTTTGGCATTTGCACTCATTTGCCAGTGAGTATACCAAGAAAAATCACAGTGTCTTTTCACAAAACAACATGGAAAATCCTGAAAGATCAGGAATGGATTATATTAGTGGAAGGAAAGATAAGAGTTAAGGACCTATGCTCAACTTCATTCATTCACCTTCTGCTCTAAGTAATAATTTGTTTTCTCTTGTAAACCACTCTGGTCAACTCAAGGCAGCTTATCATAATATAAAAGCTCTTGGATCAGATTCTGCTGCTGTTTATGCTAGGGTAAAGAGGAGTAACTGTTGAAGTCAAAGGATTTACAACTATTTTTTTTAAAACTAGTTGAACCCAGAGATTCACAAAAGGAGAACGAGACACTCATAGAAAAAGTCCCCTCCCATATTGCCAGTGTATTGCATTCACTTTTCCTTTTCCCTCTCCCTCCTTCACTTTGGGCACCATCATCCTCTCAAAAGCAGATGACCATGATTAGGATTGAAAGCAGGTGCTCTACCACTTCACACACGCACAACAGGAAGATGGTCCCAATTCCCCATTAACTCTGAAAGAAACCATTCTATCACATCTTGGTGAGGTGTTACAAATGGGTTAAGCTTCAGTGGTAGTGCAGGCTAGCCTGACGTATTTTACTTTCATATCCAGGACTTTACAAACTGAATTATAAGCAGGTAATAGAAGTGCAGAACAAAGATTCCAGAGTGTCATAGGTCACCGACACACTTCACAGAAAAAATAATTACACTCCACTGCAAGAAGTTATAGCGTTTGCTTTTTATTCAAAAGACAGCTCAGATTCCAGCTTTCCCCCGCATTATTAGTTAGGGAACTAGCAAGTCCCTAATTTCACACCATTTTGGCATTCTCAGTCTACAGTCTAAACAAACAAAACACTTCCCCCCCCCCCCACAAGGTTCCATAGCCTTATACAGTAC